TACTAGTGGTATACTACTTCCAGATACGAGTGCGAGGATGGCTGGAAGAGCAATGGGAAAGCACGGCACCAGTAGAGATCCCCAGTTTCACCCATGAGTTCCGAGTGTTCAAGCTCACCAAGACATTGAACTGGTTGCCGGTTGTATCTGATGTCCCAGCCTTGCAAGTGTTGTGGCGGTCCGCAACCACAAGCAGCGGAGGCAACAGAGGAGTGAAGGGATCCAACCAAAATAGTAACCGTACTAAGGGTAGCCAGTCCAGCGCAGCCCAACACCGAGTGGAGAACCCTCACCAAGATAGCAGGATCTCCACGGCCAGCGGAGAGCTGGGAACACGACTTAAGAACTRGAAGATCTCCAAGGCCATGAGTAACATGAAGGCCAAGGGCAAGGGACCTTGCTTACGAAACGATGGAAAGGAAATGTGCCACTCCTGGCATGCAAAAGGCTTTTGTTACGATAGCTGTAAGCTTAGCTATGATCACAAGGAGCCCCCAGAGGAGGAAGCCAACCGGTTCTGGGACTGGTGTCAGGAGGCTTACGGCACCCAATGAGGGGGGGGCAGGCAGCCCGCTCCCAATGCAGCTGCTGTGCCGCCTCCCCCTGTAAAGAAAGTACGGAGGGCACCGGAACGGGGGCACACAGTAGTGAAGACAGGGAGCATGCAAATGAGCCCCTGCAAATGGGGGCCTCTGGCTCCCCACGTAGGACCCAGTAGTTTTGCTACTAAAGAGTACGAAGCCAAGCAGATTGAACTGCTGGAGCAAATGGGTTCCAATTTTGAAAGGGGCGTTATTCTCCCCGTAGAACTAGGTAAGAAACATACACAAGAACTGGAATCACACCAGGCCGTAGGACCGGAGCCTGTTTGCTTCCACGTATCGAATCACTCAAACCTCCAGGAGAGCTGAGACTCTGCGGAAGAGGAAGATAACTACCATAGCCCCCGAGGAGGCGGACCGAGATCCAGCACCACAGGGAAGGGGGCCCGCGATCCCTGTGCGGAGGGCCGAGCCCCATCCCCGCTTCACCGATGACACACACCAGTGTCTATTGGCACCTCCGGGAGCAACTGGTACCAGCGAGGAACCGGCCGGAGATAACTCCCCCATCAGGGACCGGCTCGATGAGCACATCCAAAAGGCCATCAAGGCTTATAAAGACTCCACAAGCTGGGGGGGCTTTATACGATCAGTCAGGGGACGCGGCAACCTACACCCGGATGTCGGTCTGTTGCCCCACCCAGCAGCCAGCCTCTTAAAAGGCTTCCAGGAGCAAGGAACTCCAGCGGTGATGCAACCACCGGATTGGGACCAAGCTCGAATAGCCGCTGCCCTGGCCAGGGGGCCCCACAAGTCCTCCAACAATGGGATCAGTTTCTTGCGAGAGGAATATGCAGACATGATGGATAAGCAACAATGGACTGTACTTCCAGCCCGGATAGTTGCGAACATACCGGGGCTGCGATTGAGCCCTTTAGGATTAGTCCCCCAGTGGGGACGGCCAGATAGGATGATCTCCAATTACAGCTATTTTGGGGTGAATCGAGACACCATTCCCCTGGCACCGGAGGAAGCAATGCAATTTGGGCAGACCCTAAAAAGACTCCTGCAGAAGATACACCGAGCCAATGACCTCTTTGGCCCAGTATATATGTCCAAGATCGACCTATCAGATGGTTTCTACAGACTGTGGGTCAAACCAGAGGATACTATCAGTCTAGCAGTCCTCTTCCCTTCACGCCCCGGAGAGGAACGGTTAGTAGGAATCCCCCTTACCAACCCCATGGGCTGGTGTTCTTCCCCTCCTAACTTTAGTGCCTGCACGGAAACAGTAGCCGATCTCGCTAATAATCTGCTGAACCAGAGAGGGGGACTTGATAGCATGCGAGTACGGCCTCATCGATTCGATCGAGTAGCGGAATCCCTCCCAGACGACCATGGGGAGGCTCAAGGTAGCGGATGCACAGTCAGGGGGCCTCCCCAAATCGTAACCACCTCCAATCCAGCTAAGAAGCCCCTCCGATACTGGGATATCTATGTAGACGACTTCTGTGGACTGGTCCAAGGCAACAAATGGACACGGAGGGCTGTGAAGCGGGCCCTACTCCACTCATTGGACAAAGTGTTCAGGCCCTTAGACACTGACGACACACCGTATTGGCAAGAACCGGCCTCCCTGAAGAAGCTGAAGAAGGGAGATGCRACTTGGGCCACTTCTAAKATCATACTYGGCTGGAAGCTYGATACAGTAACCAAAACAATTACTTTGCCGACCCACCGCATTACTCGGTTGCATGAAATTCTGGACTCYAKTCAACCGGGCCAGAARTATGTCCCARTCCAAGACTGGCACAAGCTGCTAGGAGAATTAAGGTCTATGGCAATTGCCCTACCAGGATCCCTGGGCCTGTTCTCCTTGCTCCAGGAGGGCCTACGACACCAGGAGAAGAACCGTAATCGATTACGGCTTAYGGGGGCCATTCATGGGTGCCTAGCAGACTTTYGCTGGCTGGCCCACGACATCGCTAATAGACCCACCAGSATCGCAGAGCTAATTCCRGATGCATGGCYGGCCACGATAGGGGCCTGCGATGCAGCTGGTAGTGGGATGGGGGGAATCCACTTTGTCCCCCTCCCGTGTGGTAGAATCCAACCACTATTRTGGAGAGCTAGGTTCCCTGCATGGATCAGACGCAAGCTGGTATCCTTCACCAACCCAGGAGGTACCATCACCAACAGTGAACTAGAACTTGCGGGATCCGTAGCACACATGGATGTTCTCTCCCAAGTAGCGGATATTACGGAAAGAACTACACATAATCTCTATGATAACACGGCGACCGTCCACTGGCAACGCAAGGGAGCTGCAACCACCATAGGACCGGTAGCATTCCTACTGCAACTCCAGGCCCTTCACCAAAGGTTCTTTCGCTATGTCCCCCTCCACGATAACATTCCGGGCCCAGCCAATGCTATGGCAGACACACTGTCTCGAGCCTGGGATCTGACGGACTCACAAATGCTTGTTCACTTCAACCGCAATTACACACAGGATGTGCCCTGGCAAATATGCCAGCTGAGACAGCCCATGCATTCTATGCTGATCTCAGCCTTGTCCAGACGACGATGCGATCCAGCATCACTGATGGTTACTCCCGGAAGAAGGATGCCCATTGGAAGTGCTGGCTTAAGTTCTGTGTGTCTCAAGGCCTTGACCCATTCCTCAAGACCCAGTCCCCTATCTCCAAGTGTTTGGAGCCAGATACCACGATGGAAGGGCCTCCCCCAGCCGTAAGCGTTCACGAGCTCACACTGTATCGGACGCCATCCGGTCAGTGGGCCAGACGATCACCAGGCTGGGGGCCCCGGACCCTCGACTCAACCGGTTTGGGAGCATCGATTACAGGCTCAGTGCTCAGCTAAGGGCCTATAGAAATCAAGATGCCCCCCCTTCCCGTGTAAAACCTGTACCAATCACACTGGTGATTCATGCCCTCAACTTTGCCTACAACCAACGTCCCAGTCAGGAACGGCAAGCAGTAGCAAATATGATYTGCATAGCCTTCTACTTCTGCCTGCRACCCGGTGAATACACCGGAACCACTACGGATGATYAAGCYTTCTCCCTGAACGATGTGGTCTTCTYCATTGRCCCGCGGYGCCTGAAYTCATYGCAAGCTACKGATGCAGAAATCCTCGCAGCAACCTCCATCCACCTCATATTCACCACTCAAAAGAATGGAACCAAAGGGGATGTCATAGCACACTCCAGAAGTGGCAATCCCCTCTGCTGCCCGGTGACTGCAGTCATTCGGCAGTTTCTCCTCCATCGCAAACAAATGCGACCCTATTGCGGTACGGTAAAACTGGCAAGTTATCGCAATAAACACAACACGAACGTTTGAATTACATCAGCAATGGTCACCAACACCATGCGCTGGCATGTGGCGGTCCTTCAACCGACAACAGGCATTTCACCTTGCGCCCTCAGTGCCCGATCCTTGCGGGCCGGGGGCGCGATGGCTTTACTGCAAGGGAAATGTGACTCCAACGTCATCAAGCAGCTCGCACGCTGGCATAGTGACGCCATGATGGGCTACCTCCACCAGCAGAGCATTCCCCTCTTCAAGAACCTCGCAGCCTTAATGTTTAACAACGGCGCCTACAGCTTTCTTCCGGAGGAATCTGTGCCGTTCATGCCGGCCTGATATCTCTGGTCTACCCCTCGCGATTCCCCTTCACGCTCTACTTCTCGCTCCGGCTACACCGCGCCCTTTCCTTCACTGCACGTCGCCTCGTTATGTCCCTCCCGCGCTTCGCTCCCCCCCCGAGTCCTTTGGCCCATTGGCAGCTAGTAGTTATGCGGAGGCCGGTGGGTTGGATAAGCAGTCTCAAGGATCCAAGCCCAACACGCTCCTCCCCAACGGAATGAACCCTAACCCTAACGGTATGGGCCTTCCACAGGGAACAGGAGCTAGAGTTATGTGGTTTCCCTTAACACCTGCTTAACACACCACCACACGCAATAACACTAGTCCCAGAGGATCTGAGAAAGTATAGAATAAGGGACTCGTTACAGAGGCTGTTTTGGCCTAGGGACAAAACAGTGGAAGTTTGTGTCTTCGCTGTTGTTCTTGTTCTTGTCCTTGTCTGAAAATCCATTATCATTACGGAAGGAAAGGTAGCTATTCTACCGAGTTACCGTTTGCTGTCGCGTTGCGGGGAGTTTGATGTTCAATTTCTGAATACAATGATCCACTCTGCAAAGTAACAGTTTAAATTCACGTGGAAAAATACAGAACCAGAGAGAGAGAGAGCAGTACGAGTACTCCTAACTCTAAAGTAGTCCGCTTCGATCAAGTGAACTGGTTCTATCCCTGCAATTTTAAAAAATGTGTCATTTAGATTTTTTCGTTGTTGCCATCCAATTGGAACCAAAGATCTACTAGCTACAACTGACTCGTTTCGAAATCTCGAGTCTACTCGTCTCCGATCACGTCTAGCTAAAAAATCCGGGGGATACCGGCGCTTGCACGAACTCGATCGAAAACGATCCATGTCGGAAAACCGAAAGCCAAACTATTTTGCCACGTAGATTCCGGAAACGATGCGTTTCAGTCCATGCTGCGGCGATCGGCGTCGAAGGTGGCCTCCCTCGCCTCGTTCGCCGTGATCCAGTAGTCCCGGTGGGTCTCGGGGGTGATCTCGGCGATCGTCCATCCCCCGGCCCGCAGCTTTCGGGAAATGTAGTTCAGTCGCACCGCATTGACCCCGAAATCGGTGACCCCGACGCGGCTCGCGGAGCGGACCTGGACGGCGGTGGTGTCGTTCCCGACCACGGCGAATTCGACGTCGTCGATGAATCCCTTTTTGAGTGCCTCGAACTGGTAGTAGAGATAGTTGTCGGTCTGCTTCACGAGGGCAAAGCCTCCCCCGTCGATCCCCCCCTGGCCCGGCTCGTACGAGGCCACTACGGCCGCAATGCCCCCGATGGGGTCGGTTTCTCCAGCGGGTGGCACCCAGGGCGCCACCAAAAAGTCCACTCCGTACTGCTGCCGGTCCTCGAGAAGGGCGTCGCCGGTCGTCGAGAAACAGTTGGGATTGCCGTCGCAGGTCCGGAGGCGGGGCGACGTAACGGAGGCGTCGATCCCCTCCGTCGTCCGGGGCAGGATCCCCAGGTCCTTCGGCGGGGTCCCCCTCCGCTTGGTCTTGTCGGCGAATTTCCGGGCGTCCGGAACAGCGTTGGGAAAGGCGAGGGACCCGGAGGGAAAGGAAGCGGTGGCAGCAGCAGCGGCGAGGAAGGCCCGCCGGAGGACCTCTCTGCGGCCGGAGCCGCCCCCGCTGCCGTTGGGAGACGCCGACAACGCAAGCGTTGGCAGCGATCTAGGTGGCGCCGCTGCCGCTGCCGCTAGCGATGGCAATGGCAATGGCAATGGCAATGGCGATCGCCGTTGTTGCGCCGGTGCCTTTGCTTTTGCCCGTGCCTCTGCCAGCGACGCCTGCAGCAACGACGAAGCGGGACGGATCGCAGCCGCAAGGGCGACAACGAGGGCCGCGAGAAACCGCTTGGAGACACCAGTGGGGGAGGAACGGGCCATCCTTTTCTTTCGACTCGACTCGTTGTTCTGGATTTTTACTGTACTGTTCRGTATCGCGAAAAGATTCKTGTTCGTGGCAGGAAACAATATTTCTGTTCTTTCATTCAACCTTGTTGCCTCGTCGCACTCGTGATTCATTCAGGCTCACTGATGTGGGGCAATGGGCTACGGCACGGGTACCGGTACCAGTACATACAGTACGTACGGAACGTACAGTAAAACAGTAAGATAAGATGACGAAAAACAACCAAACACGTGATGATACGGACGGAAGGAAAGACCATCCAACCACTGCCACCGAAACCGAAACAAGCACTCATGCAAAACTAGCTACGGTACAAAAATAACAATAATCATACTGTATCATACCGTAGTTTACCGTACGTAATCGTACCGGGACGGGTGTTTTTCTCCCGGAACTCGGAGGAAAAACGAGTGCTATGATACAGTACTACCGTACGGTACCGTAAGGTACCCTACTCTTCACGAGAACCTGAACGATTTTGAAGAAAAACCGCACCTGCACTCCGAGAAACGAACAGATAGAGATTTGATCCACAAGCGCAGTTCATGGCATCGTTCGCACAACAAATACTGAAAAATACTAGCAGCAAGGAACCACCATCGACCAACGAGAGGACCGGTCGACCACAGTGAAACAAACGACAGATTCGACAAGTGCAACACAACGAACAACCCCGAGGCAGTTCCGATTGCGCAAAAGAGAGCTACATCCGGCATGGCCGATCCCGTTACAACCCCAGCCCTTGCGGGCCAGAAGGCAGCGCCGACCCCCTATTATGCRATGGTGGTGGATTCCGGTCCGATCATCAAGCAGGACGTTCGCAACCTAATGGGAAAGGCCGAGGTCTACATCACCACGCCCTCGGTGCTGCGCGAGATCCGCGACTCGAGGGCCCGGGACCACCTGGAACACTCCGTGATGCCCCTTCTCGACCTGAAGGTGAGAGAGCCCTCCGACGGGGCCATGCAGGACGTGATTGCCTTCGCCAAGCAGACGGGGGACTACCCGTCGCTGAGCACGGTCGATCTGCAGGTTCTGGCCCTGACGCTAGACCTGGAACGGGAGGGTAGCGCCGTGCACGGCAACACCAACCTGGACCACATTCGCACCACGCCCAAGCGCAAGATCGGCTTGGGAACGATTCTCCCGCTCAACCAGAGGAGCAAGAAG